ACTGCCTAAAAAAAGCTTCAACACAAAATGTTGATTCAAATATCAAACATCAAGATTACGCCTATTCGGAAAACGTTGTCTACATTTTCGATTCTCTCTTTCTCACTCAAAGCGCAATGCTGGCATGAGTGACAGTGACAGATGATCCAAAAATACGGAACCGGTATTTGGAATTAGCACCACTGTTCCGAGTTTTGCTTATCTTGTCAATTAGTTTGATGAATGCACCAGCGCATTTGGTCGGCGCAAGATATGAAATTGCAGCGATTGATTATTTTTTGGAATTTTTTAACTTTTTTCACATTTTGTCAATATTTTAAGTGTTTTTTTAGGCTCTAAGTCCTAAAGCGATATATCATTGTAAAACATTCTATGAAATGCGTTGAGACAGCTTAGTAATCAATTTTAATTATTGCCAATTTTGTGTAATATTAGTAGGCACATGATAATGTTTCTACATGATAATGTTTGATGTAATCGACTCTATATCTCAGAAAGAACGCAAAGCCACGACTTTTGTTCACCTTTCTTGCTCCAATATTAAACTATTTCCAAATGCCAGATTTTTCTCTATTACCGTCTGCCTTCAAGATCATTATTTTTAAATAACTATTTTCTTTACTTAAGGCGATTAAAGTCCTTGATCTGCGTCAAATGAGCATGAAGGTCAAACGCCCAAGGTCATTAAGGACTCTAATCGCCTTAACTACACTATCTCGCAGGCATTCAAACCTTCCTTATTAATATCATTGGCTTTTCCTGCTGCAAATTGATTCAAGAGGCCAGTAGAGACCACTGCTCGTCCATCTCTGTGCTTTCACGAATGCACTTTACCAGTAAAAAGTAAGTCACCCTCACGGCAAGTCTACACGTGAGGCAAATGAATAAAGTTGGTGGCTCGTGTCAACTGGCAAGTGAAAGGATTAGGGGACGTGCACACCGTAAAATGTAGAGATTTGAAAGTTTATGTTAAGAAAAAATTGAATTTTCCCTCAATCTAAGGATGTAATTTAATTTAAAAACAACACTAAATTTTTCCCGCGGCTTAATGTACAGTCACGGAATGAAAAGGTTCGTCAGTTTTCAAATTGATTCCTTCAACGAATCGCGAGCACATATTACCTTTTGAAACTATGTTACAGAATAATCTCGAGTAAGAGAAAATAATCTTTAACTGTTCGTCAGTAAAGTTCAAAATTATTCAGTGTGCCTACCATGAGTTTACGTTAGGTGTGCTCGCTAGCGACTGCGTAAAAAAATGACATTTAAATGTATGACATATTGTGCAGCGCCCCTAGCGTCTACTTTCAAGAAATAAAATTTTCATAGAATTTTTTGACGTAATCGCTAGCGAGCTCACCTAACGTAAACTCATGGTAGGCACACAGATCAAAGTTGTTTGACGATTTATCTTGTCAAGAAGATTATTATGATTGATAAACTAAAACCTTCTTGTTGATTCAACCTGCCATTATTATTTCTAATAAATAAAAAAAACTATTGTCAATTGGTCAATGTCATCATTGCATTGCACTGATGGGATAAAAAAAATGTTTTTGGTCACATTTAGAGTTTGATAGTCTGTTCTCTCCCCAACTCTAATAACGCCCCATCTTTCTTTCACGTCAAGTCGCAAGCACAGGTGAAGTTATTATTGCAAGACATGTTCATTCACAGAAAATGAAGCACGATGCTTTGACTTTTTTGTTACGTAACGGGATCTTTGAACCCAGTTTATTGCGAATTCTGCAAGCTGTGTTGTTTTGTCTTTAAAAATAAGGAAATATTTACTCGTATCTACGAAGAAAAGATTCAAAGAATTTAACTTTTAAGAAAGACGCGTGACATAAATATAAAAACCTTTTTTTTTTCTTTATTTCTGTAGGAGTATCATATTTTGTACCTATAGCGTTGCTCAGAAAGTTTTTCCTCCTCTAATATCAAATAATATAATAACTGTGAAAGTTTGTGAGGATGGATGGATAATAATATGTTTTACACGCAAAAACTATTAAACGGACTTTCATGAAACTTTTCAGTAGCTTATTGCTTTTAGGTACATAACAATAATACGAGTAAAAGCAACAATTTGTGATATTTTGAATGGACGCCGGTGAGTTAATACACAGTTAATTCAAAATACGTAAGTGAACCGATTAATTAAAAGTTCATCGATTCCGCCTAAATCTCAAGGCTTGACGAAAGTGCTAACAACAGTTTAAAGCAGCGTTAAGTCATCGTTTAAGTTCGTAATGTTTCTCAGAAGGTGTTATCCATTGGGGTAAGGTTAACGAAGTTTAGGCTGCGTTGCAGTTTCAGTTCTGTTTGCTTTGGAAACATGACAGATGTGAATACCAAAAAATTTGGTGAGTGTTTCAAAACAATAATTGTTAGTGAGTTAATATTAATTTTTATAGTGATATCAGTAAATTAAAGTTTGTTTTTATAAAGTTCAAAACCTCCGCTAAATACTCGTAGAAATCAAAATCACACGAACCTCAATAAAATACCTAAATCTAACTGGAAAACAATTCCAAATAACGGTCTTTTTAAAATCGAACCCGACGCCATTTTGAAATATGGCCGCCACACATTATTGCGGGTACACACGAACTTTGCACCGCAAGTGTCAAGTCACAGTAAAAGTGATTCAGCCTATTTATTTACCGAGTTGAAAGCTATTAGCCTATAGTTAGTTTCCCTTTCAAATAAAATTTAATGTTTAAGTCAGTCAACATTTCTTAATTTGCATGGACTATTAAAAATAGTGCTTTCAAATCGTCAGTGTGAATGAAGTAGAGATGCCCATGTGCATAGCTGGGCATTAACTCGTTAATCCGTTAATCGTTAATTAACGAAGTTAACATTTCTATTAACGGATTAACTTTTAAGTTAACTTTAAAAAATGTTAACGGACTCGTTAACTTCCGTTAAATTATCCTAAGTCCGTTAATCGTTAATCCAGTACCTACTATTTACCAAAAATATACAGCAGGCACGCTGAAAAAAGTACGTTCGGGCTTCCAGAACTTCCAGAACCCAAAACAACAGTTTTTGTAATCAGATCACAAACGACACTTGTTAGTATGTGTGGGACAACTCTTGCAACTGAATTTAGGACCAGTTTTCCTCAACCGATTGAGCTGAAATTTGGTATACTTATGTAAGTACGATGACAATGCAATGTTATGGTACCATTGAGCTGGTCTGATGATGGAGTCATGAGGTGGCCATAGGAACTCCTAAATGAAACGGCGGCATCGCATCGAATTTGGGTTCGTTGGATTTGTCTTTTCGAGCACTTTAGTACTAGATGATGTCCAGGGTCCTGGTGATGGAGTCAGGAGGTGGCCATAGGAATTCCTAATCGAAACGGTGGAAACTCATAGAGTTTGGGTTTGCTGGATTTGTCTTTTCGAGCACTTTGGTGCTAAATTGTATTGTAATTGAACCAAGGCTCTGAGATTGAGATACAAGTAAAAAGTGTCAAATAAAATTATAATAATTAAAAAACTTTTTTAAAAACAAGCTTTTATTCTGAAATACAGTTGTACTAAAACGAAAAAAATAATTGTACTTATGCAAGGTTCAAATAATTTCGAAAACTTGTAGCGCAAACATAAAAGAGGAATAAATTCCATGCGCGATACAAGCTTTCGAAATAATTTGAACCTTGCATACAATTATTTTTTTCGTTTTATTATCATGTGTTAACGGATTAACGATTAACGTTAACTTGCGTTAAATCTTGCGAAATGTAACGTTTTAACGTTTAACGAAGTTAATTTTTTTATTAACGGTTTAACGATTAACGAAGTTAACTATTTGATTAACGGTGCCCAGCTATGCCCATGTGTAAATGAAAAGAACGAGCAACAATTAAATCTAATGATGATGAGTTTAAATTTTAATAATACTCGTAATTACATTGTTAAATAGTGTTTTTTTTTTGTTAAGATGCAGTATACTCGACTCGTAATATACTCAATATAGTTATGAATGCGTAAACTATAAAATATTTTTTTACAAACTAAGGCCTGGTTTTCACGGAGAGCAGATGTGCTTGAATGACCAATCAGATATTGTTATTCGCCTCACTTACATCACCTCTTCTCTCCGCTTTGGAAACCGGGCTTTAGACTGGCTGCTTTCTTCTCGCAGTGGTTAGATCTAAAAATAAAAGATTAATTTCCTATAAGGTCGGAAGGTGGCATGTCTTTAATCTGCCAAACGTGACGTAACGGGCAAGCATGGAGGTGGATTTATTAGTTTTATTACGTATGGTTTATCGGTTCGTGTTAACCACTGACGGGGGATTTATTATTTTGGAGAGACTATATTTTATTATGAATCTTGCAATATGACGACATTATTTTTGCTTTCTTCTACAAGTAACTTTGTCAATATCCTAACATCGTACTTCCATAAAATGTAACTTGTCTTTGTTGATAGTACAACATTTAGTTAAAAATTATTATAGTTCTCGTAGTGTAGACACAATTTTGCTATTTCTGATGGACGTTTTAGGTTAAACTGCTTGTACTCAGTGAATAAATTACATGTCAAGACTCTTATAATATGATAGTCAAGATTGAAATTAATTTTCCCTGTTCTGTTAAATGTGGTGAACATTTTACCAATCCGAATTGCTTTTAACGCAGGTAGTTCTGTTTCTTAATTTCGATCAATTAACCCACCTGCTGTGTTAAGTAAGAACTGTTTACTTGGCACACCATAAAAACTATTCGGTAAAACAGCTTGTTTTGTTCTTGAACTTGTATACCTAAAACAATTGAGCATCGGTTCGTTTAAAATTCGAATTCGAATGAAGATTGGCAAAGACCTTGATTTGCTGCCAGAATCACCCGAGCCAGTACAGCCGTCTCCGCCGTAGGTTTTATTTAACACGTGCACGTTACACATCAACATGGCAACTGCATGTCTACAACTATGCATAGTTGCAACTTGCAACAAGCATTTTCAAACAACCACCTTGGGGGTTTGACGTGTGGTGTCAAGACCACCATCAGTGCACATTCTTACACCTTATCGTACCAGCTATAGGGTTCACTTTCGAAGCATCCAACTGAAAATAAAGTGGCGAATTTGATTGCAGGCTTGATGGACATTTGCAGTGATATTCGATTTAGCGAAATTAGATTGGTTGACGTTGATGCAGTTATTGTCGCTTCAATTTTCAACTAAATACTGAAAATAGTATTAAATTGCTTTGTTTTTCTATTCGTAACTGGTACAAGTCTGGTAGAGTCAGAAGTTAATTTACTAAATTATAGTGGTATTTAAAGTGTTAAAAAGTTTTTAGATATGAACCGTCTAGTGCGAAATGGGCCTCCAGCCCATGTAGAAGGTATGTATAGTGTATAGTCTAAAAATACTTTTTATAATATTTTATAAGTTATCGAACAAGTTTCTTGTCGTGGTTCCAAGTAGGTATTACTTTAGTTCCCAAAATGTCGAAGTTTGGCGCGAGTGCTTATATGAAAAGTTGTGTGAATAAATGAAAGGTTATGACGATTTATATCACAGAGAGATCTGTCCAGCTGAAGAGTTTGCGGTGAGCGCTTCTGTTAAAAATGTTCAAGCTAAATAATTATTGATTTCAAGGGCTACAATATTTTGTAGTCATCATCATTATCATCATCTCAGTCACAGGACGTCCACTACTGAACATAGGCCTCCCCCAATGCTTTCCATGTTATTTTGGAGCGTAAAATTACGAGTATAATGATTGAATTGAGATTATTAACTACTTCGATAGACGATAAGTACATATCAATGAATTCTATTTTACTGTATTAACCGGCATAGATTTTCTATCTTCGAATAAAAACTTAGTACATCATAATGCAATTGAATCTTTTATAATGGGCAACAGCCAAAGAGTAGAATTCCTTGCCTGCTTTCAATGGTGCGATTTAGGCAAGTGCGTCCATCATAGATTGCATTTGCATTGCATGGTCACATTGTGAAAAAACAAGACCATTTTGTTTATTTTAATTACCAATTTACGATTTATGGCTTCACCAAATATTCGATAAGCAGGTACTCTTAAGTTTGCCTGTCACCATAGTCTACAGCGAATGCACTACTCAAGAAACTGAAATTTTCGGCAAGCAGTTACGTGCATATTTTTAATAAGCCACTTAAAACTCTCAAAAGATTCGGGTATTGAGCTATGCCAATAATAACCAGGATGAAAGAAACGGCATAAATTCTAAATAGATCAAAACCAAATATTACATCAAAGCTTATATTTACATCTCAATTTTCTTTCTTGAGCTTTTCCAAGGTGACAAAACGTCGTAACCTGTAACTATGCCATTCAATCAACCATAATACTAAAGTGGATTTCAGTCAGTGTTCAAACGCATTGAATTCACTTCAATAGACCATAGTCACGAATATATAGCTGTGCACACTCCACACTTCACCTCGGCAGTGGGAAGGCGTTTTACTGTGGACTGGCTTCCTTCGAAGGATTAAGCTAGCAGTTATGTTTAAAAGTAATAAGTTTATAGAAGCCTTTGCTTGGTAGATTGTGTTTAGTGTTTGTTTCTATTTTGTGCTAGTGTTGAAAGGATTGATGTGTTTTGGTTCAGTCTTTCGGTTACAACAGGGTGAAAGACTTGCCTACTTTTCTATAAGTTACTGGTTTAGGAAGAATGAGTAAGCTTTTGTGTTTTACCTAGTACCATAACAGAAATTTCTTAATCTGAAATTAGATTTTGTTATTTTAAACGTGTGCGTTTGTGAATCATTGTTATTCATAAACAAAATTAAGATTTATTTTGACACAAAAATGATTATTAAAAATTGCTAAAAGCGAAGAAACGAATATTTTTGTGCCAAAGCAAAAACTCCAGTCAGTATTTATGAACTAAAATACAGATAAATTCTATTAATCACTTAATCAAATAACATTTTAAACATCGTCATAATAATTTGGTGGAATAAAGTCATCATTGTGTAGAATCATACACCATTTATAATGGAAGTCTATATTCCACATACCTACCTAATAGTAAACCAACGCACGTGAGAGCGCTTTATCAAAGAAGCGTTCAAACTCAGTGGCAGACGCCGGGAATCGAATGCAAACCCCACTTATACATGTGCAAGGTGAATTGGCGTTAAATCTGACTCATACCACTCACACGTACTTAGGCGCTACCAGAAGAAGAAGAAGAAGGGTTATGATTTTTCATCACTTCTAGCTTCTAGTTCTAAAATCTGAGTGAGTTTTTAATTCACTGTAAAATTAGATTTTGGTAATATTTTCCTCTGTCCAGTTTTTTATTTTTACGTCCCTTCGCCAAACTTAATCCATGTAGAGTCGCGATTCAGCATTAAAAAACGTTTATTGAGTATTGTAATTAATATAGCTTCAGAATGGAAATGGGTCAAAAGTGTCGATAGTCGATAGTGTGAACGTGGCGTTATTTGCGATCCATCGGTTAGTTTAGATCAAACCTTCCAAGAAAGATAAGATAAGAAAAATGCTCGCAGATCGATTCAGTGATTGGAATGCGACTAAACTAAAGTGATTTCGGGCGGTTCCGTGATCGCTTCACACTCGATAGACGATGCGAAGTCACGAATAGTTGTGATTGGTTTTTATCGATAGACTGTCGGTAGTAAAGACAAAAGTAATAGTATCGATAGTTAATAGATAGGTACGCTAGACCGTCAAGAAAAAGGGCCAGTTAGAAAATCTTCAAATATCGGTATACCTGACCTAGCTTCATGAAAAAAAAAAACATACTGGAGAAACTACGCATTTCTATATAATACTTACTAAAAATAAAAAGCTCAAACTAATTTAATCTTTATTTCAGTTCGTGACATCCAAAGTAAGCAATAACTTCGCAACACGTTTTTACTACATCTTGAATATTAAGGTTGTGTTGTCAACTTTTTGGCCACTTTGGGTGTCACGAAATATTTGACGCTGACTGTACTATTGATTAAAAATTTACTAAGGCGGTTATCACACTTAATCATTGCATGCAAGTACCTCAGTTTGTATAGAAAACACGCGGCACTTCACACTGACAACGCGAACGCGTCCGCGCGCGTGATTTTTTATATGAAAATCTGATTTTTGACGTGTGCTAAAATTAAAGTAAAATGGTGTAACCCAGCCTTAATATTTTACGAGGTCAAGTATCGATACTAAAACTATCGATAGTTCTACAAACCCTGATTGTGATGCAGCGCACATTTCACACGTCGACGCAGTAGTGGGAAGCCGTTTTGTTTCAACTGAAAACTGCCTTAAGTTCGCATCCGGCTTGGCGTTTCGTACTCGTTGTGAATTTTAAAGTTACGACTCTTGAAATGCAACTTTGAATACCGTAGCAACAACTAACAACTTTTAAGGATCATTCAGTTAGAAAACATTTTGTAAACACGATTACAGAAGTTTTAGAGAGTGAATATAATGACTAGGGTTATAAATGACTAGCTGTGCCCGCGACTTCGTACGCTTGAAAATAGTTTGAATATTTTTTCCCGTTTTTGCAACATTTTTCTTTATTGCTCCACCCCTATTGCCTGTAGGGTGATGTTATATAGCTTAAAGCTTTCCTCAATAAATGAGCTATCCAACACAAAAATATTTTTTCAAATCGGGCCAGAATTTTCTGAGATTAGCGCGTCTAAGCAAACAAACTCTTCGGCTTTATAATATCAGTAGGTATATATTTACCTACGTAAGACTTTAATAACAGTAAAAGTAAACCTCAAAATATTCTTGAAAGGATCATTATTTTCCTCTAATACTTTCGAGATACAAAATGGCTTAGTTACCAACTTTGTCGAAGTCATTAAAAGTGTATTACTTGAGAAGTTTAAAAACTCTTCCACACTATCTGGAGTGACTGAACTTTACTTTCGGGTTACGGAATTTTTCTTAGAATTCTTTAAAAACTCGTCATATTTTTTAGTATTAAAAAGTGCCGTGATTACACTATTTAGAGAGTTGTAGTGATGTTGCGGAAAAGTGTACTGGGTACGTCGCAAGAGGAGTTTTATGGTTCGAAAAATCGCATTGTATTTGTAGTGTGTAGACAAACGTGTAGAATTTGATAATTAGTACTTTTATTGTAACTTAATCATCATCGGTGTTTTCTCGAAAGGATGCTCAATGCCAATAACAAGGGTGTCTACGAAAGACCAGCTTTTTGATATGCCATTTCGAGCATGTCACGATAAATACTTAGCGGATACCTCTCACAGTATTCCCTACCTACTATTGTTTTTGTCTTGTTAAAAATGTTATTGTGTAAATTTTTTATACCTAAATCAGTAGGTAGTAGTCGCAGATCGTCAATCCTCCGACTTTACTAAGCTGATTCTGTTAGACAAACACTCGTACAGAATATTAAAAATCATGATTGCATTGTTATGCATTCTTATTGAAAAACATGTTTATTTCTTATTTTAGCAAACAAAAATACTTCTTGTTCTCACATACAACTACTTATGATCGTAATGCAAACTCGTTGGTTTTCGAGGCAAATTGGACGCCATTGTAGCTCCACAATACGGTAGCTGAGGGCGACAGATTTGGAGGACCTGCATGTGCTTGTACGCTCGTTGTTATCGGGAAATTGTATTAGAACCAGAGTTGGTTGCTTTGATAAGTGACAGTGAAAAATTGGTGGTGAAAAAGTTTGTGCATTTCGCGTCGAATAAGTATCGGATCAGAAATCTCGGCGTAATCGGATCGGTGTAACATACATAGAAAAAAAATATACCAACCGAATTTAGAACCTCCTCCTTTTGTTGAAGTTGGTTAAAAATACTGTTGTAAGTCAGGCAGTCAGTTTCTCTTTTTATATATCTGGTTATTTTTTGATAAATTTATGTAAAATCAACAGTAAATAGTCCGGGTGGATTGCAAAAGGCGCTGGATTAGCCAGTGGCTGATTATCAGGGATTCCTATATTGTTATTAACTCGGAAAAATCAGCTTATTAATAGGTCCAGCGTTTAACTCAGTGACTGAGGTATGGAACCGGCACGGGAGGTGTGACTTTTACATAATTATTAGGTGACAGAGCATACAAATCTGAAGCATATTATATTTTAAATCTCGTTGACGTTTGACGTACTATTTAAATAGTATAAACAAATAAAAAAACCGACTCCAAAAAACATACACTAAAAAGTAGAAAAATAATCACTAATTACTTATTTATTAGGACGAATTAATATTTATGTATACCATGATTGATACTTTTGGAGTCGGTGCAGGCAAACTTCACACGTTTCATAATCTTGGCACCGACTCCAAAAGTATCAATCATGGTATACATAAATATTAATTCGTCCTAATAAATAAGTAATTAGTGATTATTTTTCTACTTTTTAGTGTATGTTTTTTGGAGTCGGTTTTATTTTTTTTTATAAAAATTAACTTATTTCTTGCTTTTTAGTTAACTAATTATTACCTTGGTGTTACCACTGAAGGTAGGCAGTATATTCTTAATGTCAAGTGTAAAATAATATTCCCTACAAAATACAGGTTACCATATCGGCAACCTAAAAAGACCTTAAACCGTCAGCCCACCTTAAAAACATGAAAGAATACAACTGTTAGGCTATTTGTACCTATAATATTTAATGAATTATCCTACAACTCCTAAGCGTTAAGGAGTTGTACCTACCATGACCAGTTCATCGTGATGAGATGATGGCTATCTGATGCAAACACTTGAATAACTTTAGAAACTATACTTATCTATAAAATTAAAAGAATTATCCTCCTACTCCTAAGCATTAAGGAGTTTTACTTTCTATCATCAGCTCATGAATTTGAGATGATGATTTCCATGAGCAAATACTTGAATAACTTAAGAAAATGTTTGAAAAACGATATACGTGCCTATAAAATTTGAAGGTTGCAGTCGATTTCCCTAGGATCCCATCATCAGATCCTGACTTGGTGACAATGGGACCACCTCAGAAGTGTACCCTATCGAACAAAAAAAGAATTTTGAAAATCGGTCCACAATTGACGGAGTAATCGGTGAACATACATAGAAAAAAAAAAAAAACATACATACAGTCGAACATATAACCTCCTCCTTTTTTGAAGTCGGTTAAAAAAAGATTTATTTTGACTTCAGGCACCCACTGAGTTACGTGTTATACCCATACATGCCACCATAATGTTGGTCATGATTTAGCTAAAACATTTTTAGCCCATCAAACCCCAAGCGGTTGCTTAAGACCGCGTAACAATTGATTTCTATTGTCTCCATTCGCGGGGCTGGAAGAGCTAAAACTCTTTTGTTGACGTGTGCAATGTGCATTACATTCAAAACCTGTTTTCAAAAACGTGTGTTTATTTTTCTACTAAAACATTTGTTGCGGCTGCAGACGGCCGCCTCCTTGGCCACGCAACACTGGCCACCAAGAAACCACGTTCTTTTTCTCGACGACCAATATCGTTACTCTTTTGTTTTCGCTACCGCTCTCCGCCCTCGAATTTTCACACAATACAATAATTTTCACGTCTCCATTTGTAAATAATAAGAATGCAATAAATTCACAATTTTACCATAATATTAAAGAGTATTAATAGATTCGATACTCCGTGTGTGCTTCGGGGTACATACACACGACGAGTGAATAAATACTTTTACTCGTAACAGAAGAACGTTTTAAAACATAGGTAACAAACATCATGCGTTCGAGTTACTCATATGAAAAATAAGACGCAACTTTTTCCACGAAGAATGTTTTCTACAAAACTAGTTTATGATATGGATAACTATGATTTTAGGTAAGTTATAATGAACCATACAAAGATTAACCAAAGTTTCTCCTATCTTTCCAGAGAGAGTTCTCTACGCCCGGAGCAAGTTGCTGGCGGGTGTGAAACCGGCGGTCGTCGGGGGAACGCCGATCACTGAAGAGGAGGCGATCGTAAGTTCTTGTACATAATAAATAGTCTACGTACGAGTATGAACGACAAATTATTATGCAATCAATTAGCCAATTTTAATGTTAATTATGTAGGAAATTCGCAGTGAATTTTATTTAACTGCTGTTAAACATTAGATGGAATACTTTTGTGTAGGTATTTACTAATTTATAGACAGTACAGTACCTCTAGTAGGAAAAACTTTCGAGTTCGTTTCGTTGCGTATTCAAAGTGTCATCGAAAAATTTTGTATGAAAAATTAAACAGCGCCCCCTAGGGCGGCTATAATATAGGGGGCGCTGTTTAATTTTTCATACAAAATTTTTCGATGACACTTTGAATACGCAAACGAAACGAACTCGAAAGTTTTTCGTACTAGAGGTACTGATGACGGCACGTCAACAATAAGGTTACGTAGTTGTGATAAGAGCAATTTTGCAACAAAAATGCATCGTCTGATAGAAAGCACATTTTATTTTAATGAAAATTAAAAGTGGCGGTTCGCACCGCGACAGAGACAGGAGACCGAGACACGAGACCGAGACGGGAGACCGCGACCGTTATACTAGGCCACGACCTGTCTGTCTCTGTCTCGCTTGCGAACTGTTGCTTATACATTGTCTAAAGTCAAGTAACGCTCGCGGTCTCCCGTCTCAGTCTCGCGTCTCGGTCTCCTGTCTCTGTCGCGATGCGAACTGCCACCTTAACTGAAGTCTCATAGTAATTCAGGCACATGTATAATTTTACCTTTTGTAGCATAAGATTAGCCTAGGCTAATCTCTAAGACTCTAGAGTTTAAACTGACAAATAAGTTATTCAATAAAGATTTTTTTTATTATTATTATTATTTATTCACACTAAAATTGGAAAATGAAATTAAACATTCTTAGTAGGTAGGTACCTACTTAAAAGAAAAACAGTCTCTCTCTATTGTTATTTATGCCACCTATTGTATATTTTTTTATCTTCCTAGGAACTTCGCCTCATCTCCTTCGGCACTGCAGCCTGCCCTCCCCGAGGGGAATGGATGAGGACACCTCTAACCATGAGGTCTCCAGAACAACCACTGGCTTACGGTCTGGCCGCGCCCCGTAATGGAGCAAGATCACTTCTATCGGCTCTGCAAGCGCACATCATCAAGTGGCTGCTGTTCGATTCGCGGCCCCAGACGAAGGGCGCTAAGAACTCCTTGCCGCCGGAGACGTGAGATATTTTATGGCTTTTTAATTTACTGTCTATTACTTTTTAATCTACTGTGTCTTATTCCATAAATATTAATAACTTACTTCGTTAACCGCAAGATTATTTGCTTGCAGCAGAGGATCTCTCTGCTCGTGGATTTTAAAGTGGCGATTGTGGGAAAAATGTATAAACATCAAACCTCTTTAACTCGTCTGGCCTGCGTGGAAAGAGGCGAAGTCCTTTATTTGCCTCTGGTAAATTAGAGAGGCTCGTACTCCGACAGTAGAGACCAATTACTTGATGATTATGAATCCTGAAAAAGTGAAAAAATCAAATATCCCATCTAAATTCAACACAGAACACGACCTTTATTGATATGTCTGTATGTACTTACACTTTTCAAGTATCGACGTATCACACCAATACGGAGTCTGAGACCTTTCCAAAACAGTTTGCTTGCGACGTGTAATACTTGCCACCCCGTGCTGAAATATTGTAAAAATTACTAAACAAAACAAAAATGTTGATATTTTCAATTGTATTTCACTCACCCTTTGAAGCATTTAAGAGCAATAAAAACTAGTACTGCTGATTTCCACAACGAATGCAACTGTTTCTGATGATCGAATAAAATAAAATTGGAAAATTCAACAACAAAACCCGACTGTACTTGTCGTCAAAGGCAAATAAATTAAATTCAACATGACAAATAAGTAATGTAAACAAAAGCCGACAAATAAAACAAACGAATCATCACCACAAACTATTCCAAACCATTTGAATCACGTTTCAAATCCATTTGTAGCTAAACTAGTTTCACAACGACAATATTTGCAAAGGCAATATTGTTGTGCAGGTCAAGCCTTCTGTTTCATTTCTAAAATAGCTCTTATTTCCTATAGTTTAAGGCCGAGCTGAATGTCAACGTGTTACGCCTGATGGAGTTCAGTCAGTATAAAAATTACAAGCGTTCGCTTTCAGACTCATACCTCTGGCTATAACAAATGATGCAAGTTCCGAACCATGCTAAAGTGTATAGTGAGCCTATTAAGAGTAACGAGAATTACATTCCTTAGTTGTTTTAACACTGGAGTTTTATTATTGAACCAAGATGATTTACGAGTAAGCCGATAGTTTAATCGGGCAGTTGATCACAGTATGGACATGTATGGAAGTGCGCACATTACACCGATTTGTTATCGGCCGATTCTCCATACAAATTAGAATCGGGCCCAACTATCAGCCGACGAAAAATCAATGGTCTGCGCCTAGACTAATAGTAAAAAAATTACATAACATTTTAAGAGCTTTTTCTATAATTTTCTCGACTACGAGTACTACTGCTAGGGCAAAGTATACAGTTTCATCAATAAAATCCAAAGATATCGGTGAATTCCCAAACACGCGTCTTATCATTACCTTCTGACAGAATTTAGTATAATATTAGCCTAGTTTACTTCCAGAACATTGTTCAGGAATCTAATTCTGCCACCCTGCATATAAAGGCAAACTTGTAAGCTTTCTGCTTATCAAGCATTTTTCCAACACATGTGGACAGCTTTACGATAAAAGCCTAGCTCGCATCATTTTTTTATCGTGCCCCAACATACAGCCCCAGAAGCGCAGGCACACTACCGCCTCAAAATGCCGATCATAACTCTCACGCCGGCGTGCCTCAGCATAAATCTGAACCATGCACCATCCGACGATATTTTACTTAAAACGGGCCACTTTATGGTCTAACCATTCCCCCGTGTTTATTTAAATTATGACCAGTGCAATCGGGCTGTATTTTATGCGAACGACATGTTCGGTCTTACGCGATAGTTCGGCGACCGTTTGTTCGAAGCGGTTTGTCATTTGTTTTTGGGAATTCGAATTCAGAATTTTTCTGTCAATGCTGTAAAATGTAAATGCACGTAAATGTTTGTGTTTATTTACAAGAGAAATATCATGGATTTGAGTATTTACATTTTGTCAAATATTTTTTACTTTACTTTTTTATCGGTAATTTTTAGTGAGCAAATGCTTAACTCTTGCAGCTAAGGTAATAATTTATTAATTCTTGCAAGAGAGTATCACAAAAGTCCAGCGGTTGAAAGGAATCGAACTACCAACCCTCTAATCAGCAGTCGGATGCCGACATGGTTAAGCTATCGTCGCCACATTCATCCATCCATTCAAGCTATTAATAATGTGAAAATAGCTAACTGTATCTTATCTTTTTGCGTTTAAATCACTGAGCCTATTAGGACTGAAATTCCCATGAGTGAAGCCATGGGCAAAAGCTTTGAAAATGTTTCAATATGACTGTGTTGAATTTTTAAATTACTTTATTTGACTGATCTCCTTATTTTCCTCCCCAAGCTACCTCCGCCCCTCCGAGGAGCGTCAAGAGGAATCCGTGTGGAGGGCCTGTAGCGAGGTCATCTGGCGTTGCGCAGGTGGCTTCAACCCTCAAGCGGGCACCGAACCGAAGGCCATCGTCACGCTGCCCAGCGAGACCATTTATGTGCAACACAGCTCGCAGTACTACCAGGATGGGATCACTGAGAAGGTAGCTAATACTATCGTATTCCACTCTGGGTGTATACTTCAAACTCGACCATTCAAAGAAGCGTCAAGAGGAAGCCGTGTGGCGGGCCTGCAGCGAGGTCATCAGACTCATCAGTCTGACGCTTGCAATGTTTTGCTTAATAAGTATTGAAAATCATTAAAAAATTAGAAGAACCAATAAGGTTTACGAATATAGTCTGTTTAAATTTCAATCATCTGGTGAATATCAATATCTTCTTCACCAGATAGTCTATATTTTAAATCATTGCATACAATTAACAGCGAGTATAAAACTCTAATGTTACATTAAAGTTCATTAAGGTTATGTATTTTTAGGTTAATTCAACAATAATTGTTTTCCAAGCTGCACTTGTTCGAGCTGAAGAACTTGGAGGACCTTCAAATATTTATCAAGCGGTACCTGTATCTGGTAAGATAAAAAAAAAATTCATTAACATTCCGGAGTAAATTCCATAAAACTTTTCCATTATTTAAAACATAATTATCGAGTAAAAATTAGCAAGATGAATAAAGCAAACATTACTTCTTGAAATCATTTAGCTACTAGAATAGTTGTTGTACTACATCTAGGACAACTCCCTCAACTATTAGTGATAGTTGAGGGAATTGTCATTTTGTTGTAGGTAACAAAAAAAAATGTCAGTTGTTTGAGAACTTTAAAGAGTTTAATAAAGCAATAACAACAAAGCGTCTATGTTTATGATCTGGAATAGATTATTTTCATTAGCTTTTTTTATTATTTCAGTTCCAAACCGAAGAAGGATCAGGAGCGCTGCTTCTTCTTTACTCCGTTATTCTTTCTAGAGGCATTGAGAAGTAAGTACATAATACGTACAACGTTTCACTTTAGGAAAATAATTATTCAATAATGATTAACAACTAGTTCACCGAATCTAATTTTGTACTTTAAGCAAAAGGAATGTAATCAAGCGAGTATTCCGTTAACGTGAAATTAATTTGTCATTTACACCGGCAACAAACGAAAGAGTAAATTATTAAAACAATGTCCATGAAAGTCGCTCGTGTAAAATAAAATAAATACCTTCGTGATTTGGATATAACTAAGTAATTAAGTAACTAAAGATACGAATACAATAGAGCAATACTCAGTATCTCAGCCAAGCAATTTTGTTGTCTATTTATTTTAATAAAAAATTAGACTATAACAGTCGAGGAGCGTCAATTATCGTGTAAATGATACGTATTTCTTGTAATAAACAAGATGCTGGTAAAGGTGACCTGTCATCCGCTTTGCAATGGAGGGAAGTCGAACCTTACTTTCGTACTCCTCCTATGTTCTTCTGATTAATTTCGCTGCGAGTCCAATGACAGTTTAACTTTCCCCCGGGACAAACTTGACCTTTATTGGTTGGGTTTTTGTGGCGGTCAAGCTGTAGATCCTGGCTACACAGTAGTTGCAGTGGTGGGAACGAGAGGTGGGAATAGTCCCGAAAGATGACTGATGATTCTTCCGTCACTTCTTCTTTTAGCACCAGCTGATATATTGTCCCAACTGTTTCATCCTCATTATTACCATTTCAGCCACATCCACTGCTGAAAATAGGCCTCCCCCAATGATTCTCATAATGACTGGCCTTCCTGCTTTGCACCTTTATGAGGTCGTCGGTCCACTTTGTCGGTCCTGGGAGTCCTTGAGGGAGGCCTTTGTCCAGCAGTGCACGTCTTTCGGCTGAAACGAACGAACGGTCCACCTTGTGGGTGAAAGTCCCACGCTGCGTTTTCCGATACGTGGCCTCCACTCCAGAACCTTGCTGTCCCATCGGCCGTCAGTTCTGCGTACTATGTGCCCTGATAAGCCCATTGCCACTTCAGCTTGCTAATCCGTCGTTTATTCGTTGTTATTTATAGTGCTAGCAGGTTACTTTCTAATTACAATAAAATAGCTTACAAAACAAAACATAAGAACTGTAGGGCCCAAAAGATAAGGAGACGTCATGTAAAATGTCCCTTAAGCTACCATTTTTTAAATGTGTTTGACGTTCATAAGTGCCACCAGTGGTCAACATTGAATAACTAAAATATTGTTGATTTGATTTGATTTTTGATTTTGAAAAGAAATGTAAATTAAGTGAGTCTACTAACTCATTGTAGTTTACTTTCTTTCTGTAATAACTCTTGTTGTACGAATCTTTTGTACGTGACCTTTGAACTTTGATCGTTGAATTTTGTTAGGAATTTATTATAATAACTTCCCTTATTAAAACAGCTGATTAGATAACAATTTGGAGTTTGGTATTTTAGAAATAAATTTATAACTGGAGATAGCTTACTCGGTTATAAAGGGAAAAGGTTAATCTAATTATTGTACGAGTAATTTTGAATGAAATATTATTTGTTAGGTAAAAGGTTGAAATCTATTTAATTTTAACTAGCTCTGGTCTCACCAAAAAGTTTAATATAGGAAAAAGCTTATTTTTACGCATTAATTGTTAGTTATCTGGAGAATGTAGGTAAAAAAATTATTCGTCAACGAAGTCGCCTGGTAAATGAAAGTCGAATGTTCAAGTTTCCAGAGGTATTAGGAGCTAGAGTTTTGAATGCAAAAAAAATCCTAATACATTTGAAATTTGGCATTTTTAATAAGTACCTACTTACTCTATTACCATCATTATGTATTCTAAGAATTGAGTTTCCTGGTAGTCCTGGTCTTGTGAAACATAACTGTACAACAATAAAACAAAGTGCTTCGAGAAAATTAATAGAACTGCGCATGCATTGTCTCTTCTTATCAAAAAAAAATCTTGCTTTTAAAAAAAAAAGATTATTAGTACTTTATAAACTTTATATTTAGTTTTGTTTCTTTTATATTCTTGAATCAGCATCAAGAAAGACCTGGACGGCAAGCTGAGCCACCTGGTGTCTGCCCAAGTGGAGGGGTCTCTGAACGTCGTCACTCTACTGCTGACCGGTAGAGCGACACCCTACTTGCACAATGGAGTGCTGTACGTGGGCGATGAGGATCATTACGTAAGTTATTTTAGAAGTTTTAGAAACATAATTTTATTTTACTTAAATATCAATAAATAATAGTTGTGTCAATTCACGAAGCCGAGTTCTTTTAAAGTTTTGAAAGACATGACAATATCGTTATGTGCATGTACACGTACACACACAAGTAAAGCTCACTCGCATTTGTGAGTTGCAAGAACTATAAATGATCTCTAAAGGTGTATCTACTCCGTCATCTCATCTGTTTTCCGCTTTACCCTTCTATACTAAAATTTTTTTGGTTACTGATTACACATATAAGTGACTTACGAGGCGACAAACCAGATTAGCTTAATACAAAATAGTTTGTTTAATTTACACAATATTTTGATCCTCATCATCAAAGTTAGTAGAAGTCGTTAGCAGTAACCTGGAGGTTAGTCGAACTGGAGTTCGTATGTCGTTTTTTGTAACTACCAAACCATTATTTAGATTAAATTCCTTGCTAATTCCAAGATCAATCAGCCTCTTTGAATTACCGATAGCCTACTAATTGAACCGTCACTGGTTAAGTGGTTAGGCTATTTTGGCGGTCAAACTGTAAATCTTGGTTATGCAGGAGTTGTAGTACTGAAAACGAGATGTGGCTGTACCAAATTGACAGTCCATGTACATCGATCACAGGCTCATAAAACTGTCGTCATTCGTATTATAACGGCAGTTATGTATGTGTACATTCATGAAACTGAAATTAATTAAGCTATCAATGTAGAGTATTGTAGAGCTACGCAATTATGAAGCAATTTATTTTATAAACCAACGAAACAGATTTATTATTCCAGCAGTAGTTGCCCTTGCCTACTTTTAATTGAATTTTAATATAACGTTTTTAATACATATTTTGAACAGATATTATTATTTACTCTTCTAATGTTATATTACACCTATAACTTTGTATAATTCAAAACGCAATGTTTGACCAATAAATATTTATCTAATTTATGAACCTATGTAAATAATAGCGTAATAATATTCATGAACTCCCAAACACTTTTTTCTATAAATAGTAAATACTCGTATCAAAAATATGTTTAAATATTATATTACACAAAACACGAGTACGTGACTAAAAGCTCACGTTAGACACGTCTATCACATAGACTCATTTCAGGTTCAAGTACGTAACGATAGTAAATAGCAAAAATATACTTCAATTAATAGTATTTATGTATTACTCTTATAATACAAAACACGTTTGCGTGACAGAGCTCACGTTGATCACGTAAAAAGGACGTGTAACATAAATATACTAATTTCACGTTCTGTTACGTTCTCTTTATAGGCCCACTGTCTAGCTTATATACGATATTAATAGAAATAAGATACAGAATAATCCTTTTTGAATTTTGAATTTGAATTGAGTTCGTCAGTCCACCTTATCCCACGCTAAGTTTTCCGGTAAGTGGCGTCAACTCCAGAACCTTGCTGCCCCATTGGCGTACTATAAAGATAGCAGGGAGGCGCTGGATGCAAGCCGCTACTAAGCGACGTGGAAATCATTGGGGGAGGCCTATGTTCAGCAGTGGACGTCCTGTGGCTGAAATGATGATGATGATAAATTTGAATTATAGGCCCTCCCACAATTCGGCGTGCTCTCCAGAAGTCCTGTGGGATTGTTGGTGTGGTATGGAGGCGACGAGTCTGGGAAGGTCAATTTGAACAAACAGTATCCAGGTTCGAGGTTGAAGACTCCGGCTCTGCCTATCTGGGTAAGAATAAGTTAAAAAATTCGATGCGATGCGGCAAGTCTCTTTTTTGGAGTCAGGCAGTAAGAAAAGACAAATTGTAATATAACAAAAGTAAAGAAGTAGTTCCAAAAATCGTCTGTCGTTGCACATTTTATTTTGCAGTTATGACGTAAACAGTAGTTACAGAAAACTTCTTATATTGAAGGTGACAAGCTGCTCCGGCCATTTTGGTGTTCTATTCAACACTAATCGAGAACTACTGAGAAACTACCACGCAGAGAGAAGGTACAAAAACTTTTGGTTGCCAAGCGAAAATTATTATAATCATAATAGTTTAGACTTTCATAATTTCATGAGTTAAGCTATAATAATGACCGTTTCACTACCGCAGTATCAATTCAGTCAATACGTTAAAACTGTATTTGTTGCAATAGTTGAATCGTTTGTTCGTTCGTTTTAGCCGAAAGACGTCCACTGCTGGACAAAGGCCTCCCAAGGATTTCCACAAAGACCGGTCCTGCGCCGCTCGCATCCAGGCACCTCCCGCGACCTTCACCAGATCGTCGGTCCACCTAGTGGGAGGCCTGCCCACGCTACGTCTTCCGGCTCGTGGTCGCCACTCAAGAACTTTCCTGCCCCAGCGGCCATCAGCTCTTCGAGCTATGTGCCCCGCCCACTGCCACTTGATTTTAGCGATTCTGCGGGCTATGTCAGTCACTCTGGTTCTCCTACGGATCTCCTCATTTCTAATTCGATCAAATACACTCAACATCAAATAAACCGCACCTTCCGCGACGCGAACTTTAAAGATTTCTTCTGACACAATTATGGTACCCCAACAATATTGGTGTTATTTGAAAGCCCAATAAATATCCTTAAAGAAAAAAAAAATCATTTCTAAATAAATTATTAACATATATACCATAAATGTGACTTGAAAATAGACCTCATTTTGGGCTCACCTCTGGGATCAATTTGACCAATTTTTATGGTTATAAAACCAAATAAAGATCTCACGTGTCCTCTTTAACAGATGGATAGCGATTAATCCTAACTTAACAGTTTTATAAAAAATGGCTATAGCGTAACTACCAATTTTTTTAAGAAGTGACTCTGGATCCTTGTAAAGACACATTCTTGGGGTAAAAACCTTTCCTTTAATGAAATTAAGTTTAGAACTAGGCTTTCAAATGGTACCAATGTTGGTGGGAAGTGGGGATGAATACGTTTGATAAGTGCTTGTCGCGAGAGATGCGATTTATTTGATGCCGAGTGTAGTTGAATAAATGCATAAAAGTTAAGGTTTTATTTATATTTCCAAGTACTACATATATTATAGCGTTTATAACGTGTTTCAGATTTGATATCCAGTACTACACCTGCGGAGGCTGTAATGTCCTTCTTAACGTGGACACTCGTGCCCATGATGACATGGGAACCCTGAGGAATGACGACATCAGTGCCACTCCATTGGAAAAGCTCATCCATACCAAGTATTTATTTTTAATCTTTTTTTTTGCACGTAAGGTGATGTATGCACATAAATGTTATGATTAAAGGTCTATTCTATTAGATGACAGCACATCACGCTATACATTTTTGCTGCCAAATCGCTCATAAAGTGTTAGAGCAGGCGCACACCGTAGATTTTTCGTTGGCCGATAGTTTAGTCGGGCAGTTGATCAGTATGGGCATGTATGGGAGTGCGCACACTACGCCGATTCAATTTGGCCGATTCTTCATACAATTTAAAATTGGGCACAACTATCGGCCAACTAAAAATCAACGGTGTGCGCCTACTCTTAACGTTGATGTACCGTCGCCTGGTACAAGTAGCGAACTTAATGCCGGTGGGCATACCCTACCAGTCAATCACAGGTCAAGCAGAGAAAGTAAGACTGTGCAAAATTATTGATTAAGTATGATGATTAACTTATACATTCATCATCATAACTTCAGCCACAGGATGATCAGAGCTAAACATAGATGAACCCCATGGATTTTCAGATTGGCTGGTTAGAAGTATGGAATTATTTAATGTGCTATTAATTTACAAAATTAATAGACTCATCAGTAAATATAGCTATTTTTGCAGCTATGTCAATTTGTATCCGACTATAACAACAGTTTTTATTCGCAAAAATGTTAGTAAACGTTTTCTAGCTACCTAATCATCTTTACTAGGTGTTTTACAAGTCAAGTTGTAACTGGATAGAATAAAAATCTGGGGGCACGGCAGTGCCCCCACCAAGTCGAGCTAAAAAGCGGCACGGCCATACCATCCTTTTCTCGAAGCAATTCAGGCCATTTTCGACCGCCTGTAACTTCGTTGTGGATAAAACTAGAAGGCTGAATTTTCATTAGCTATGCAGGCATTGTAAAGACACGGTATATTTAAAATTTCATTCAATTTGAACCAGTAGTTTAAGAATTATAACGGGTCAAAGTTACTTAATTTTGTCACTCACTGACTGACTCACTGACTGACTCACCGATCATCAAAACTCTAAGGCACTTCTAGCAGACCTAGAAGCTTCAAATTTGGAATATAAGTAGTGTTTGGTGTACGAATCAAGGAAAAACTAAAATATTTGGGGGCACGGTAGTGCAACCGCCAAGTCGAGTAAAATTTTTCAATTTCGGTCCAGTTTTCTAGATACATAACTGCTGTCTACAAAATACAAAAAGAAATGAGATCCCATCAAAAACAATACTTGTCAAAAAAACCAAGTCTCGCAACTCAGTTGTTCTACGGTAAAAAGTTGTGAGATCCATGTAATACCAAGTCCAGGCCAGGAAATCTTTAACGTTTTACATAAATATATTGACTTGGCCATCGCATGAAAACACGTGTAAATTAAATTATTTAGTGCGATGGCCAAGTCAATAATTTATGTAAAACGTTAAAGATTTCCTGGCCTGGACTTGGTATTACATGGATCTCACAACTTTTTACCGTAGAACAACTGAGTTGCGAGACTTGGTTTTTTTGATTTCAATTGTCTGGAGCAGAAATCGTATTTTCGGTCTTGGTATTAGGGTCATCTTGTTAGGTATAGCCTCATAATATTCAATGCAAATTGATATTCCGAATCGTAGAATTTATTGGGTTTTACTTCAACGTTTTCAAATTGTACATAATACACTATATTTTTTATTAGCAGAATGTCAGACGTGTTTCATTAAATACACACTGATTCGACTATTTATACCATTGTTTCCGTAACGTTACGAACCACACAATGGGATTTTTTCAGTTTTTTTTTTCTGATAAAAGGTTCGCATACCTACACAAAGTACACAAATATACATGGTGCACAATTTATGGGTTGCTTTGTTATAGCTCGCTAGTGGAGAGAAAAGGTGATAATTATCGATGCTACTATAACTTTGTTAAACAGTTACTTACATGATAAAAGATATATGATACTTCGAGATGCATAATTGTGGAAAAACAGAATGAAAGTATTTTTCAGGAAGACTGCCCAAAAATATTTTTAAAATTTTTAGCTTGCACATAATATTTAATTTAACTGGTTAAATAAATACTGAGCGGGCTTTTCTTCGTTCACAGTTTTAGTAATTACTAGCTGACCCGGCGAACTTGGTTCCGCCTTAATGGCAATAAATAACGGGATAAAAAGTATCCTATGTCCTTTTCCTGGCTCTAAACTACCTCCCTGACAATTTTCAGCTAAATCGGTTCAGCCGTTCTTGAGTTATAAGTGGAGTAACTAACACGACTTTCTTTTATATATATAGATAATAGTGTCAGTCAAAGTATACACACACACATGCGGTTACTTCTTTGCACCCGAGATAACAACGCGAGGGATCAAAGGAAAAATCGGACGTAATACGATACAAATGTACACAGTAATCGACTATCGACTATCGACAAATTAGTACCGAACAACACTATTATCCCGCCCATTTCACGCACCTGCGGAGGATGTGGCAGATAACGCAGATCGATACATACCTGCCGCTAAACGAGTTACAACTTGTCCGTGGAATTTTAACGGTTAAAAACTGTAATTTACGTTTGTCTGTCATAATTGATTGTGTAATTATTTTCACTTAACAACTCCTCAAAGCAGAAACCTGGTTCAAAGTCAAGGGATAAAAGAGTGGTTACGGACAGCTCAATAGACTAGATTATTGTTGCAAAATCGCCCCTATTAGTTCATCATCATCATCATCTTAGCCATAGGACGTCCACTGCTGAAAATAGGCCTCCCCCAATGCCTTCCATGTTGCACGTTTTCCCTATTAGTTAGGTACCTACAATCCTACATCTATAGATGCTACAGTATTTATCATGACGTGCGGTCGTGTAAAAAATGGTACCTAGGATAAAAAGAAGTAGAGTGTATTTTGAAGAGCCATCGTCCGTTATTATTACTTTTTCTCTTACAGGTGGCAAGACGCGAAAATTACATGGACGGGAGCTGCGCCGTATGTGGGAGAACAACCGCTTCAATAAATAGCTCTACTTATTTTGCAAACTGGAAAATTATCAGCTAGTTCAATGTATTATTCCTCAGTGTCTATGATAGAACCGCTTTACAATATACCAAATTCTTTATCTATGTTTTAACTGAAAGGCTTCTTATAAAATAGTGTTTAGCTTTAGATTTTGTGAAATTCAGCATAAAAATAAACCACCATTAAAAATATAGGTACAACAAGTTTTAACGTGCACAGTAATTCCTAGTCGAAATAAATATTTAACGCTTCCAAGATAGATTATTTAAAATACTCCCACTTGTTTTATAAACGCAAAATTACACAGAAATAGACACTAAATAAAAATTTGTGCGTTCTAGAGTCAGAATTTTAAAATAACATTGTAGAAATGAATAAAGGTAATTGGTGTTCGTAATACGACTGTCCAGGTAATATGAAAATATTATCAGAGAATAATACAATATTAAAAGGAAAAACAAGGTTTGGTGCTCGGAGTTCGATGTAGGTTAATGTTAAGCATGGTACTCACTTATGAGGTGTAACACGAATTTTTGAATTTTTTTTTAATATTACAATTTAACACAATGTACCCACTATGTCATAAAGAAACAGTATTCGATTATAAACTCAGAATATTATTGACGTTCCAAAGACACGGATTAGCAATGAGGTTCCTCTTTTTTGCAGGATGGCATGAAACTGAGTGTCTTAGCAGGCTCAGTAACATTCAGAACGCATTTTCTTTACCCGACTGCGCCCAGGAGGGTTATTTACTCCTAGCGTTATTTTTTGTTGTTGTTCTGTATCAAGTACCTACATTGCCACGAGAATGGAATTGACAAGCTCGCTCCGAATTTAATGGATTTAATTTGAATGTGCGTCTATTTTTTATGGACGTATTCACTTACATCGGACTACTGGATAATGTGTTACACCTCATAGTGTGTACTCTTCCTTAGAATTGTTCAGGGTATAAAGTCGAATTGATACGTTAATATAGAGGCTTTTATCGTGTAAATGTTGTTAAAGCTTGTGTGTAGTAGAAATATACTTGTGTAGTTACATTAAATTGTTTTATTTCTGTAAATGCTTAGAGAAGGCTTTTGTCTAGCAATGGACGCTATTTGGCTGAAACAAATGAAGGAACTATAATCTTTACCTTGATGTTCCGTGGTCTGTACTTAAACGGTAATTATTAATAAAATATTTTAAACCCAAAAACTATTACGAATTAGGGCTAAATTCGTATCCAATACCACTTCAAGCACTATCCAAGGCTATTATTATCGAATCAACTGATCCTCATAATACGTATCCGATTGCAGAGCGATTCCGGATCAATTTGGGATCCGATATAGATCTTGGACACTGCCTAAAGATGCTTTTGGAGTTTCAACTTTGCGCTGCTGTGATTAAGGCCGATTCGAAAGTTAGTGTGAGTAGGGTTGCCAAACGATAAAGACAATATAGCCTTTTTAATGTATTTTTTTTCTGGGTAGACTACGATTTTCGTCATGTACCACTCTAATATTTAAATTATCTAAGTCAAACGGAGCCTTGTATTTGAGTTCGCTTTGTGTGTGAATCCATCAAACAAGGCTAAGTAGGTACTATTTTAATAAAATCTAAAATTCCTATCGTAAAGTACCTACATAGTTCGCGGCCCTATTAAGTAATAGTCTTTCGTTCGTTCTCATTTCGTCATTGTAAGACCAATTGTTTTTTCTTCCAAGATACTTTTGTAACATCAATCTGGTCGCCCTATTTGAAGGTGATATTGGTGAGCATGATTGATGGGCCCAGTGACAAATGTACCAATAAAAGTAATTTATCAAAAACGTCGTAGCCACGCTCTCAATCCACTGAAGGATTCTTCGCCTCATCTTGACGATTTTTTAACTGCAGTTTAAGTGGATTTCGTGGGGAGTGAAATAGAACTCATGCACGATGTCGGATTTATACCTATACCTTCATTTTGAATCACGAAGGTGTTCTTTATACCACTAAGGCTGGGTTGCACCATCTTACTCTAACTTTGACAAACGTCAAAAATCTATCAAATTACATACAAAAACACCGCTTATCGTTAAAGTGATGGTTGAAGTTAGGTGGTGCAAATCAGCATAATTGTTTCAGAATTATCATAAACATTTCGATTGTTTAAAAAGAAGAAGGGGGGATGCGTTTTATGTGAGCATATTTTATTATGAAAATGTTTAAATATAGACTGCCATTATTATACGAACTATTATTAAATAAAGTCATCTTCGTTAGTCCGGAGTATACGGATTAATTATCTTGAGTTCAATTACCAGGGACACAAGAATTGAACAACTAAGGGGCGCGACACAAAAGATAAAAATAATTCTTTTCTATGACAAGCGAAGGGTTAATGCCACCGTAAAAAAGCTCACAAAAACTGACCATAAATTGTGCCTATCCCAATTTAGTAAGCGCCCAAAATGAAACTCCCACATTTCAGTGATATTTTTTGAAATGAAACATTGATGTGTCCGTGGAGAGAAACATCTGCCGCACTGAATCCGATTTGGGAATTTGTTTTATTAATTCAAACTGTTGCCTTTAGCTGGGTATTCAGAGAAACAATATTTCATTTGCTTTTTCTGAAAAAACTTTAAGCGTAATAACTAAAATACACATTGGCTAAATAAACAACAAATACATATTTCAGAAGAGCCCAAAAAGTTGACTTTTCAGATATTATTCATGGTCTAGTCCCTCGAGTAGGTTACATAAAATAAATAATAATTTACCTTCTTGTCTTGACATAAGGTGGTTTGACTAAACAGTAAATATAAAATCAAGTTTTGTTGGTAAGAGACACTAGTTCATCAGTTTCGTTGTCTTTGAAATGCGCTTTTGAATCTGAAACGTCGCCATAGTATCACGAAAACCAGCAGCCAAAACATTTGTCTGCCAGCCCAATCGTCTATCACGAATTGGTCTCTTTCAAAGTCTATCGAGCACATAACAACACCGGCCATTTTTGGCAGCGTACGTGGTCATTCCGAGGGCAAACGCACTCCAGGGAAAGTCGATAAAAAATTACGATGCCGCAGCGGCCCTCGTCCGTGGAATTCAATCGGTGGTCTTTTTTGCAACGGGCACCCGACAATTTGTAAAAACCGAGCGGAATTTTGAATAGGTCGATTTGAAGGTGCTACCTCCATTGTTTCGTTTACGGTGGCGGTTTGTTTGGGAAAGTCAACTATGCCTGTCATGTGATCAAAGTTGTGGGACTCGTATGTATTACACCTGAAATACTGAAATCCAACACAAATGCTAGTTAATGAACGTCCTCAGAATAGGTGCTCTAATAAAATGAGATGGTTTATAGAAACTTATGGTATGGTAATATTGAGATGTAATATACTTGGTCTTAAGCCGATAATATTTATTTGTATTGGAAGTAATAAGAGTAAATGTCATTGTTTCAATAGTTACATTAGTTCAGAAATATTCTGTCAATGTCTGCTCGTTTGCCTCCTATCACATAAAAAAATAAAAAAAAATAAACCACGATGACTGTTCAAATCCATTTTTGTTTATATCGTTCATTTATTTGATAACTTTAAATTTTACAAGCGACCTAAAGATATCCAAGAAAAAAGCCTATGAACAATTTTCAACGATGAAGTAATTCTTAGTGAATAATTCATTTCTATCAAGCATTCCCTGGACCGCAACAATATGAACTCATCTTTCGAACCTGATCTAGCACTATACCTACATACACTCCAAGTCACATCCATCACCGGATCCCCAATTTGTCAATGAAACAAATTCCAGCCACAATGGTCAAAATGGCCGCTCTATAAATCAACAGCGACGGAGCGAATTTTGTGGACAATGGATAATTGCAGCCGAAGATATGTGCCCATAAAATTTTATGCCCACAAGTCGGGTAGTATGAGATTCCAATGCAGTTTATGTGTTTTAATGACAGGTTTATGGTTACATATTGGCCTAATTTAAGTCTGAAATGATTTCTCCTATCACGTACAAAAAGTAACAAATCAAGAACGTGCAAGTTTAGCTTGTTTGCAACTACCTAGTTAATCTCTTTTTACAAAATTGGAGAAAATGTAAAAGTAGAAAAGATAAAGGTTTTTTCCAACGTAACAACCAAATGGTATATTAGCACTAGTACTCTTAATAGAAAGGTTTGCTTTCCAATAAATTACCTTACATGTATAAAAAGTTCCAAAGCTCGTCTTCGACTTACCTGAAACAAAAAGAAAACATAAATGAATACTTTGTACACAAAAAGCAAAGTAAATATGAAGCAACTCTACAAAAAGCTGTTCCTGCATTTTCGTACATTGAAAACGACACATTTACCGTTCAGTCGACCATTCATCCAAGGGCACAATTACTAAAGGACTATATTTATAATTATGTCTGGTAGTTAGTTCTATGATCAAGACCACTACAAAAATACAAGTGCTAGGAGTCTTAAATTTTGCATGGGGGTTCCTTTTAGAACGCAGGTGCTCACTAAGACGGGATTTTGTAAAATGCAACTCCTAAGGGGGTAAAGTCGCGGGCGGCCGCTAGTATATTAATAATATTGATTTCGAAGTAAATCTTAATATAGATGCTACAAATTAGGATTTAAGTTTATTATAAACAATAAAAAAAATACGTCCATCAATATCGGAATCCAAAAAAGTAACACAGTCCATTCAGGAAAAACGAGTATTTTTGAAAAATATTTATCCTAATACATTACAATGTTTGTCACGAGTTAACTGTAGCTTATTAAAGATATTACTAATTTTAATAAAAAGGTTAACGACCACATATTTTATTATTATTACCGCACCAACTGTTTCAGTTAAACAGCAGTTAACACGTCCGCCGCAAAAGGTTGCGAAGCCGTTACATCAATTACAGGATGTCTGACTGTAAATCGCACGTTCTACAAACAAGGTTTTGTATTCAAACTTTAGCAATTACGTTAGTCAGGATTTAAGTTAAGTTGGGAACTTTCAAAACGGGAAGGATGGTTACGGGT